GTTTGTAGGGAAGTAAGGAAGGATGCTCCGGCCAAAAGCGGAGGCTTGACCCCGGCGGCTTCCCAAAAAGAAGCCGTAGCGGCGCGAGCCGGCTTTGCCCGCTCAATGAGAGACAGGAACAAAGAGTTAAACCAAAATCTGTACAGTCTGATTACAAAATTTTTTTTCTGGATCAGATGCACCACCGCAGAGCTGCAATTGCATATACATACGCTGGAAAAATAGGACACACTTTGTATTTCATATTCAGCTTATTTGCACTTCTTTATTCCAAAATTACACAAAGATCAGGAAAAAAAGATATTTTTTTTTTTTTTTATTTCAGCATGTGTTATGGTTTATGACTGGAAAGAAATCAAGACGTACTCTTTTGCGTTAGCTGCACAAAGCCAAGTCCAGTCAAACGCCTCCTGGACACAAAAGCAGCCCTTTAGGGCCAGCCCCTGTTTTTAAGGCAAAATTCCCAAGTCTAGATCTAGTGGACACAAGTTTCCTGCTTCTCATTCCTCTTTGCACAGAGCACTTCCACATTATTAACACAGACAGCCCTCACGCTGCAGGCCAAGTCACTTCTCTACGTGGACACACAGCGCATACAGGTACACAAACCGGGTGTATGCTCAAAGGTTGCAAAATAATTAAATTTACTTTTTAAACACCAAATGAATGACACTTCTGTAGAAGCCGCAAATTAGGACAGGATTTTTTCCACATTTCAAACTTCCAAACTATGCAAAGCAACTACAGCATCCTTAAAGGATGCTCTTAGTATTAGCACCTGTCCAAACACTGGCAGCAGGACTGAATTTTGATGATCATTTTAAAGAACTGCTTTTTAAATGCTGCTGCTTCTCTAATCGTGTGGTAACCATACTTGGAAATTCAGTTAGAAAATGCAGAAAAATCAGAGCCCAACATATTGACAGCGGTACCTTATGCACACCGCAAAAAGGTAACCCTCTCTTCCTTCTACCGGACACCTATCAGCAAAATGCCATCAATGCCCAGACGCAAAATGCCAAGTTCAGCTGGACCGGTACTAAATACTTAAAACAGCAAAAGATGGAACTTTATCAGATCTAACCAGAACCAGCTAAGGGCTTGCTTTCTCAGTACATGCCGTCTCCTTCATTCTCTATCAATCAGATGGATCAACGCCTTCGATAAGCAGAAACAAAGGCAATAATAATACGCCCAGACCACACAGCATGGTCTGCTTGGGAAAGCACTTATCACTCAGCTCTTACTTATCCATGCATGACTTTTCTACACCTGCACACACTACAGTAATCCCATGCTCTGATTTCAAAAGACACAATGCATTGCTGAGTTGCAAAAAGCTGACTTTTGAGATACGTTCAGAATCTGGTCATGGGCAGCACATAAACACACGTAACAGATATTTAAAATACATGAATGCACACGTACGCATTTAAAATAGACTTTTCCACCCATGCCCACATACAAATGCTTGTGAAGCCTGTTTTAAGAACCTATCACTTTCAAACACTGACTAATAACCAGCGTCTAGAAAGAACATAAATGAAGCCAAATTCTCCACCCATCAAAAGCATAGAACATGGCACAAAACACACTCGAACCCCTAGGAAGAAGTACAAAAACAAGCAAATGAATCAGTTAATACTCAAACAGCTCATTTACGCACTCAAATGGGGCATAGAGCTACGAGTGAATTAATTACAGGGCCATAAAACAAAACACTGCCTAGAGAGAACCATGGGCATCATTGCTCCTGGTTCCCAGGCTGCTCTGAAAGTGATACGTAATGGACACGGTGACTTAGTACATGAAAAGAAATTAACATTAAAGAGGACTTACTGCTATTTTTTGGAGAGTCATTTTGACAGATGTCCACGTGTCCAATCTTCTATCCAGGATTAGGATAAATTTGGTGTCAGACTCATGTTGACTATGAGATAAGAAAATAACCAATAACCAGACAACATTTTGAGGGAATGACTCTGTCCACCCCCCCCCCCCCCCAAAAAAAAAAAAACAACAACCAAACCCAAACCCAAGCACACAGAATGCAAACCACATTTTGACATTTCCACAATTGCCAAAATTCCCTTTGGAAAAAAAAAAAAAATTTCCCCCAGCAGAAACCAGCAAGAAATTTGGGAAGCCCACCTTAGAGTTAGCCCAGGGTTATGCATCATCACCTTTGAAATGGGCATTGGGCAGAAGGTGGCCACGTGTTGGGCTTGAGAAGGACTTTGCAGAGGTGGGAGGCAGCCGTGCTCCCGCTGAGCATCTCGGGGGGGGCCAACAGCCTCCCCCAGCCGTCGCCCCGAGAATCCCATCCCTGCCCTCGCCGCTGAGCTCTGCCCTCCCAGGGAACTTGCGACCTGCGGGCCCGGCTTACAGCAACCGAGCCGCGACTCCTGGCTTGTTTTTGCACC